AAGTGATTTTCATTTGCTGGATGCCTATTATATTGCTATTGATCTCTACACGAAATCACTTGCTTGGYCACTGAACACTATTGTTACAAGTCTGTTTGTTCAATTACAAAGTGATATTTTCGACTGAGACTCATTAGTTATGTTCCTGTTATGATTAAAATTGTATTTTTATTAGAACAACGGCTGCACGCAAAGCACTTGAAGATAATCATCACTTGTTTACTTTGAAGATGAACGTCAACATAACTTACCTAAACCTTTATGTCAGCACTTTTAAGTGCACAAAAAGACAAAGGTATCTCGATCTGGAAAAGGATTATCTGACATGCTCATCTTTTAGAGACTTTCTTAAACGATAAATATCTGGAATGCCATCATATTTCGTAAACGTTTTAGTTCAAGGCACTTAATGCTCATTATTGTTGGACTAAGTCCATGTTTTGGTCACAACTGTCTTAAAAAAGGTCAAAATGGAGCTTTGAATTTGTACACTCGAGAAAAAACGCGCATATCATTTTGCTTTAAGGAAATTTATAATTTGTTCGACTATTCTTTCTGTCAACAGCTTCCTCGTCATACTATCCTCATCTGCTTATCTTCAATCAATAATACTCCATATTATACTCAGTCCAAACAAAAAAAGTTTTCATATCACACTTACCCTCAACCAATAATTCTTCATATCATATGCATCCTCAACCAATAATTCTCCTTATCTACTTAGATTTAATTAATAATTCTTCATACATACTCAGCTTCAACCAATAATTGTTCATATCCTCGAAATGCACTGTAACGTAAGCCTGTAATACGTACAAACATCATACTTTATAATAAGCAGAGTTTTTGATTTCAATTGCAAACACGAATTTTAGAAAAGCTGTCTGGCGGTTTTATACATTTCTACCCGTACAGTACATTTCTTTCTCATGTTTCTAAAACTAATTTCTTTCTGGAGTTTTTTGCAAAATTTCAAGGAATCTTAGCTGCTTTCAATCTGGAAAGTGTTGTAAACCACTTGAGTTAGAGTATCGACTTGATTCAACGCACGCAAATCATCAGCATTTTTCTATACATCACTACTAACTGAACAATCGCTGTTTCATTCGCTTTTGAAATCTACGGATTGCTACTAAATTTGTACAGATGCAACAAAGATGTCAAGGATGTTGACCCACCATTGGGATATCACCAGAAAGTCGTAAAGCAGTGACGAGATATAAAGACAGAGACATCTTGGAAATGTCCGGGTACCTGGACTACCTGGCCACAAGAAAGAACAAACTAACATCTTACATACCTACAAATTGCACAACGACTTTSCTTTTTTCCATGAAAGATTTCCAGGTTATAAGCTGATTGCTTTTCCACATGAGAAAGGCGATTATAGGGTCACGCCAGACAGCTGGCTATGTTACATTTGTTTATTGTATGATTATTGTTGACATCGAGCGGAGTGCTTTGCTGGACGGTGCGTTATGTAATCTGATCTTGTTTGGGATCAGTCGCACGCACCCTCAACGTAAAACCGCACAGACAGTCCAGGCTCGAGTTTGTATTAAGTTGACAAAATARTAAAATCAAAACATTTCATGGGTTGGTTATTTCCATGGTTTGTGAATAAATCCATCGGTTTTTACCTCGATCGAGAGTGATTGACACTTCTGCGGACTTTGCCATATATGGTAGTCTTACATTAGACAGCATTTTACCTTAGACTACATTTACACCACACCACCAGTTGCCTTTTTGGTTTGGCTACGTTGACGACACTACCACAGCACTACCTACTGACGACATTGAACGCTATTTGTAGTGTTGTAGTTTTTCTTCTTCGTCTCAATAAGAAATACAAATGCGAGTTGGAATGTGCTGAAAGTTGTAAAAMAAATAAGAGAACGACTGACATTAACACAAATACTTTACGATCTAACTCCATGTTTACAAAGTTTCGGTTGAATATTTAATTCGATACTTTGATATACGATGCTCAATACTTCACTATTTGGCAGATATGGGTTTCTATTTGCGTGTGAGCGCAAACGTGTGTTCATTTCAAAGCCCTGATCGAAACCCAACTCAAGTCATTTCCCCGTTGTTTTTGCGTTGGGACCTCTGAGGTTAGGATTTAGTGTAACCTAATGTAACTATTACCACTTAAACGAATTAGTAAGAGTTCATAATCACATCAAGTTTACTCAGGAGACCGAGGAAAACGAATTCTATACCTTTTCTACGGACTACTTTTGAAACTTGCAGAAATTTTAGCAAAAAGACYTTTGAACAATATATCATGATATATAGATGTGTACAAAGAAAAATGGTAGGACTCGAACCCTAACCATAACATCATTGCGAGAAAGTGCACAATATTTGATACAACTCATTTAACAGTTCATATGTTATATAGTGCAACTCTGTCAGTTCATTTGTCATTATAGTGGAGTATCGTAGGCGGTCGTTCTGCTTCTACCAGACCCTGAGTGATTAATCTTTGTCTTGGGTCGACGGCATGCGCACATTTTCGTGAAGTCATCCTTAAACCCTGAGCTATAAAAGGCGTAGATGATTGGATTAACTAACGAGCTACAAAGCACCAACAAGTATGTCGTAATGGACACACCCACRAGAACACCAATAGGCGTGGCATCTAAGCCTCCGTACGACCGAATAGTTGCTATGATAATCTCAGGCGCCCAGCAAACCACAAAACAGCAGACCACAATGACGAGCATCTTGGCAGCTTTAGTTTTGGACTTGGCAGCGGACTTGTGGACCAATCCACTTCGACAACGACGGCGCAAGCTTACAAATATCGCCGTGTAAGCAATGACGATTGTTACCAAGGGAACCACGAAGGTCATTACCATGGATACAGTGACGGAGATTCCACCTACGTAATCGGGTTTGACGTCGCACGAAGTCTCGTCGCTTTGGCGACGATCTGCAATTTTTCCTTCTGGAAGCTTACTCAGAGGAACTTGTTCTGCGGTGAAAAGAAACATGGCGGACGAGGCGATGGAATACACCCACACAGAAARAACTAACTTGATTGGACGCACGGAGTGCTTAAGGCTATTTAATGGATGGACAATGTTACGATACCGATCCAAGGCGATCACCACWAGACTACCAAAGATGGCGGCACGACACATGCTTGCAATAAAGTAACTCGCTTTACAAGGAATCGAACTTCGTTCTCCACTTGATGGGAGTGATAACAGTACCAGAGGAGGCGTGACGGCCACACGATAAGCTATCTCTACGATACACAAATGAGTGATCATGAAGCAACTGATTGATTTGATGTAACGYTTGCTTTTCACCATGACGTGACACACAAGCGTATTCAGAACAATTCCTATGATAATGAGAAGGAGGTACGTCGACGTGACAGTAACGCAAAGCAACGAAGGACTATGGCAAATTCCATCTATGACAAGTACAGCCGTACTATCATAAGCTGTTTGAGTCGCATTTGACATAGTTAAAGATATATAACATTTGATGAAAGTTTGTTGTGGAAATTATGTTTGTTCACGTGAAAGAAGAAGCTCTCCGGATGCGGATAAACCAGCGTTGTCAGTTTCTGGAAGAAAAAAACAAGATGGCAGTGTTGATATCAAATGCAGTTAAATAAAGTGACCGTTCAACAACTATTTAAACTTATGAAAACGTATCACATGTGGCTATAACCATGGGGCGGATATTAAAATTAATAACCTTCAGATTAGAACGGCTGAAAAAAAGATAATCATAATTTTTTTTTTAAAGAGTTTTGCATTACCTTTTCATAACATAGTATACTAAGCTATTTTTCTTTCCCTTAATCATCATAAAATGTACAAACATCAATAAGGGAAAAACCTGAGCTAACACAGCATATATACGTAATTAAGACTTGGAAAATGACAACAATCTATTCTTCAGCACTATGTAATTACTCGAGTTCGAAACTTATAGCAGAACATATAATAAACGTTTTTACCACCACCAAGAAAAGCGCCTTAAAATAATAATTGCAATAGATGTTTTCCCTTCCGGAGGATTTTAATTTGAATTAAATTATAAAAATGCAAAAAAGAAAAAACAACCTGTGACAGCTGTCTGTAGCGTAGGCTACCCTGACGTAAATTTGACTGTAGCCCTAAGCTCCCCAGTAATGCCAATTATATCACTAATTAAGTTTTCCCTGTGTGATATCAAGCATATTGTTCAAAACAGTTGAGAAAAAGTCTTCATGAATGCAAGAGATTGCTTATTTTTCAACCCTAGGACCACAATGCTTTTCGAATTTCCATTCTCATATTCGTATTTCTAGTCCTTTTGGGGATTAGTAATTGACTTGAAATTACATTAAAATAGAATAGTAGGCAAGGAAGTAGTAGTGTAGACTACTATTTAAATCTACTAAAAACTAAAGTTTTTTAAAAGCACTATCCTAGCACCGAGCCGGCAGCAAGCACCTACGAATTTGCATACTATCATAATAGGAGTGATGTTGGGTAAGGACCAATCACTTTTTCTGTGTGGGTGGGTGGGGGAGGGGATGTTTATATGCCTCTGCATTTATTCAGGTTTTAGATGATGTGCCTCCATTTTTCAAATTCAAAGCGAATAACCGCTATTCTTGTTGAAAGACTAAAAATAGAAGAAAGCTCGATGAAACATCGTTATTAAAATAGCCCAACTATTTGTATTCAATTTTCCTCGAATTGAAACTTACCCTGAATTCCCAGTATAGTCTTCAAAACGTAGGCCTATGTTTATCAAAAACTCAAATTTTCAAGGTTATTAATGTGATAACCACATTTTCTCGTGCACGTGTTCGTTAAGGCTTTTTCGTAAAGAATCTGTTGTCAAATAAAACAGAGGTAAGAGTGAAAGTGTGGTTTTCACTAAACCCGAGAAAGTTTAGAGTCCTACATTTTAGTACATTCTGTTWACACGTTAAGCTTTGTGTTTTCAGTTTAGTTACTTATAGCACTGTGACTATAAGAGCTTGTTTCATGGGCTATCAACACTATACGACTTGAATTTGAAATATATTGGAGTCTTATTTTTTGATGACRTTTTGCATCGTATTGTTGACAATTTTATAGACTGGTATACCATAATAATAAAAACTAGGAAACGGTGTTCATTTCAATTGACACTGTCAGTTTTCCTGTCTTATGGCTGTCAAGAGCTTATATTACTGTAACTGAGTACTCGATTTGTGTCACTTGTTTTTTTCCGGGTTTTTTTAACGATTGAAAATCGAGACTTATAGTTTAACGAGTAAAAACATTATATCTTTCATTAGGATTAATAAAGTATTAGTGTTCTGATTGCATTCATATATGACACTGTAAACTATACTTGTACTCATCTGAAGAGAAAGCCTCGATGGTTACTTAATGGAGAAATAGTTCTTGAAAGAAGTTGTGTTGAGTGTAATGATAGATATTAGAAACATGCACAAATAAGCACACTATGAACAAGTCATTTCTAAAAATGAAAGAAAGAGAGGAGCAATGAAACTTACCTTTTCGTCTCGGTACCTTGCAATTATATGCGTCTGATCGATCGAGATCCTGTTTTGAATGCCACGGATATGAGCACTTCTACGCTTTAACTTATCAATTCATTTCAATATTTTAATTCCATTGAATTAATTACAATGTGAAAGTGCTATTTATGTAGTACCGTGACATATTGCATACAAGATACAAAAATATAACGTAAATTATTTGTTAAACACGGTAATTAAATCAATAATATACTGTTATTTGAAGAAATTACTAGAATCAAACTAGAGTGACCGCCTGCCTCAGTTCTACTGAGACAGTGTTGATAAAAAGATAAATTAAAAAGAATATTAGAATAACACTATAATAACAAATATGTTATAGAATAGAGCGAGACGTCCGAAATAGCCGTACTTTAATCGCAAAAAAGCTCGATAAAATTAAATTTATTTCATATAACTGGTTTATAACGAGTTTACATCTCGCAGCAAAAACACTCGAATTATAGAAAGGTATAAACCGGAAGATCTAACTAAGGATGTCACTGACAGACTTTACATGGTTAGTGAGTTACTGATTCAAAATTGGTGTAAAAAACATCGAGTCGTTAGATGTGCTGTTCCTTTCCACAACAAATACACTCTAAGACCATAATTAATGTTTGCATGACGTCATTATCTGACGTCACTGGAATATAAAAGACTATTTTTTTCGGTCCGGTATC